TATAGATTGTATATTCTTACTTTGCTTGTGTATGGTTAGTTGGGGAATCTGATGAAACTGTCACTTTTCTTAAAACTGATCCCTTTCGTATTTCTTTCATTCTCTTTTCGCACACGAAGCACTCGGTGGACCAGCGATTTTGGACGTGAGCCTCGCCCCAAATCACCATGGCAATTCAGTGACAGATGGTGGACATAAAACGGACTACACCAACCAGCGAGGAAGTAGTCAACATCGAATCAGGAACGGAAATTCTCCCTCGGAAAATAAGAAAAACCCGGAAAAGGCGGAATCATGTTAGAATCAACCAAGGACGATCTACGGAAGGAAATTGCCGTTGAAGCACGGAATGAAATACGAAGTGTTAGAGAAAAAGTCCAAGGGATTCTTAAGGAAACAATTAACGGAGGCGGAAGAGCAGAATATGGTGAGAGCTTTGCTTTGGTCATTCATGTCGGTTTTTCGGTGGAGCTATCACCTTCTAACTCCCGGACTAAAGCTGTCTACAATGACCATAAATGCGGCATTGTAGAGAAAGTTCATCCATAATAACACGCCGACCAGTGGGGGTTAGAGGGAATACACACATACAAACACAAGGATCCCCACTCACAAATTTGCAACGTACTGATGAAGGAGTATGTCCCAGAATTTTTGGTGTTTTTTTTTGACTCGCCGGTCTTTTGTCAAGCTTGTCAAGTTCGATTTTACTACTTGACAGCGATTAATAAAATTGGACACCACACATAGATTTTAGTTAGTCCAGGAACAATGTAAAAACAGCTCGATAGGGGTAAGAGGGGCATAGTGAACAGGTGGGGCATAGTGAGCATCCCGTGCACCAGCTTGGACTTCCGGCCGTTCGGAACAAATTGTTTGGTGGTAGGATCAATATCATAATGATATTGAACCTACTACCAGTTGATTTGTTTCATGCAGCTGGAGATCCAGAGCCAAACTGCGGGATGCTCACTATGCCCCACCTGTTCACTATGCCCCTCCTCCCCCTATACACTGGAGTCGCTTTTTAAGCGGGTGATACGTCCCGGGTAAATTCCGGAATCCGCGTAAAAAAAACCGCGTAAATTCCGAAATCCGCGTAAAAAAAAAACTGCGTAAAAAAGACCGTGTAAAAAAACCGCGTAAAAAGCGACTCTAGTGTATAATGATAAACCGTGTAAATTCTGATATCCGCGTAAAAAAAACCGCGTAAATTCCGGAATCCGCGTAAAAAAAAAACCGCGTAAATTCCGAAATCCGCGTAAAAAAAAACCGCGTAAAAAACCGTGTAAAAAAAAACCGCGTAAAAAGCGACTCCAGTGTTTATCATAACAATTAAGGCTGGTAAATTTATTTTGAATTTTGGATCAAATAGAGTTAAAAAAAATCCTTATGTTCTGGACTAGAAAAAAACTATTTTGAGAAATTATATTGTATCGATATTTAATCGATGGCATAATAAGACGTCTTCAGGCTCTACCAATTGGCCATGGGCCCAGGGATTTTTCTTTAACTTCTGCGAACTTCGTAAAACTCAAGGACTTCTAAGAAGTTCAGGGAACATTGTAGAAATTGAGAAATCTTAGTACAAATTCTGGGAACTTCATGGATCTTCAGAAGAAATCGTAGAAATAAGGAATTAGGAAAAGTTCTGAAAATTGCGTAGAAGTGGAAAATGTATTTAAGTTTGAGGAGCCTCGTAGAAGTTAAGGGAACATTATTTTATTTCCGGGAAGCTCATTATTTGTCGGGAACCTCTTTATAATTTCAGGGCACTTTTTTGAAGCCGCATGGACTTGGAATAGTTGTGGAAAAAACGTACAAATTCAAGAAATTTCGTTCGTGGAACTTCGCGGAAAATCAGTTTTGTAAATTTCGTAGCATTTTGAGGAGCTACGTAAAACTTAATATAATGGTAAGAATTTTGAAAGAGTTCAGGGAGATTTGTAGAAGATCTAAAAATAGTTCAATAAACTTCAGGGAACTTTAGGGGGATCCTTGGTTCAGTTTAGGGAACTTCGCTGCAGTTTGTCAGAGATCTTACTTCATACTTCCATAAATTTCTTGAAGATTTTGGGAACTTCGTTAAATTTCAAGGAACTATCTAGATGTGCAAGAATATGTGTAGATATCTTAGGTGTCTTTCCAGAAGTGCTTAGAGGTTCAGAGATCTTCGTAGAATTAAAATATGAAATTCGGAATAAATTCCGGGAACTGAGGAAAGCTGAGGAAGCTTGGTAAAACTTAAAGGAGTTTTGTAGATGTTCAGGAAACGGTGCATAAGTTACAGGCTATTCTTTCAGACATCATTCCTAGACAGCAATATTCAAATGATCTCCATATAGACGAAGATATTGTTCTCTGGATATTTTTCCAAGACGTCAGGTTGATCAAGGATCTTCAAATGTTTAAAAATTCAAATATTCTTTCAAGACTGTAGGTTGTGCAGGAAGTATTCTAATGTTTTTCAGCTAATTGAATCTGATGGAATTTTGAATGATGAATCTAGATTTTATGGAAATGTTTGTACATTCTCTATAGGGAAGATACTATGTGATTTAATTTCAAAAAGCATGAACAAACGATAATTCAGGCGTAACATTTGATAACGATACAAAAGCTTTTGTAAACAAACTGTCTACGGCCCTTTACACGCGAACCGAAGTACGCTCACGCAAATCAACAACATCATCAGATAGGAGCAACTTTCACCTTTCCGAAAGTGGTATTGGTTTGCGTGGGCGTACTTCGGTTAGCGTGTAAAGGGCCTTAGAAAGTTTGTTTACAGATGCTTTTGTGCCGTTATCAAATGTTACGCCTGAATTGCTTGTTCAAAATCATATTACGGGTTTAATATTTTGCGATAAGGAACAAAACTACCAATTTTTACGAAATTCTGAGAACCACCATATAGTTTTGCTATGGAATGGCTCTGCTTCCATGTAACTCTAAGACTAGTAGGTCCCTAAGAAACGTACTCAACTTTTTGGCTCAGCTTTGGTACTCTCTTCGGTCCTAAAGCTGGGTTTAGATAGGGCAAGTCAAATGATCAACTCAGTTGAATTCAATTGGCTTGAAAAGTTGAGCCTGGTTCAACTTTTTTCAATTAAAGTGAGTTGATCAAGTCAGTTGAATGGCATGGTTTACACCAAGGTTGCAAAGACTCATTTCAGCTAAAACAATGTTTTTCTAAATTATGAAATAATTAGATGCCATGATCAAATTTTGAATTGGTAGGATACAAGAAGAGGTTGCAAAGAATGTGTTTGACATATTAAACCTGTTTATTTCACTTCATGAGAGTCACAGTCAGCGATTTTTCACAAACTCACTCACTCACTCACTCACTCACTCAGCGATCAGCAAATCGCTGATTGTGACTCATAGAAAGCAAAATTTACAGGTTTTATGTTTCCAACGCATACTTTGTAACCTCTTCTTGTAAGTTACAAGTAAAACATGCCATCATACCATCTTTTGGTTTTATTATTCCGAAAAACATTATTTTAGCTGAAATGAATCTTTGCAACCTTGGTTTACACGTTCAATTCGCGTTCAAGTTAGTTGAATTCAACTGACTTAATCAATTGACTTGCCCTATCTAAACCCAGCTTAAGCTGATAGACGCACCCCTCGAAACATAGGTAAATCCACGAACCTCTCATTTCATCTGTCAAACTTTCTTAGCGAATCAAAACTAACATTGTGTAGTAATAGCATTTCGACTAGAATGGGGTACGTTAATCGATTTGGTTGGGACCAATAGACTAGTCAAGTAGTGAGTCAATTTTAAATCGTTAGTTTCCACCGGTTGCTGCTTCTGTACAGCGAACATATTGATTCATGTTGAACTCTGTACGTTAAGTAGATTGCCAGATGTGGGTCCATCAAAATGCCAAGTCTCGATGAACATTTCAAATTGTCCTATCTGCTTTTATCCATTCTCTGCATCGACTCTCTCTTTTGATAACCACCGCTATGCAAACAGATTGCGTTCTAATTTTACCACATAGTTTGCTAAAGGAGGTTGTTATCTCGCGTCCAAAACGTGAAATACATCAGAGAAATGTGTCGCTGCTGAGTTAGTTACCAAAGAGACAGTCGATGAAGAGAGTCAATCAATGCATATAGGACCTTTTGAAATGTTTGTCTAGAAGTGATAGGTAAAATGGAGTCCGTCATTGTCACTAAAATGATTAACTGTTCACGGAACCGCCGAATGTCCTTTATCGAGCACACGCAGCCCATCCAAATTATACCTTGCTGTGTCAGATCAACAAGCTATCAATGTGGTTCTGCATCTAGATTTCTATATAATTTTTTTGTTGTTGCTGTGATCGATTCCGCTTTTTTCCGGTTCAGCTGGCAGTCTGCCAAAGTTCATGTTTGTTTCTGTGCGAAATATGAACTTGGATAACATGTTTTTGGCACGCGCGACAACCGAGCACAAAAACACACACTGCGCGTGTCAATTAATTGCTGATCTCTATTTTATGACACACGCTATCTTGAAAGTACCCATTAATGAGTAAAATTTCGCCCATTTTTATGAAATATGTTTATTGATTTAATTAGTAATTATTACCCATTATCACATTTAATCAGTAATGGATACTCAATAATGAATAACAGATACTCATTTAATGGGGTAAACATTAAAAATGGGTGAAATTTTACTCATAAATGGGTACTTTCAATATAGCTTGTAGACAATTTGTTTTCTTCTTCAAACCGGAAGGACTTATTGCTAATCACAATAAAACACCAGCATATTAAAAAGTTTAACAATTTTATTTTCTCGTTTCGTAAAATAAATAGTTTCTAATGTCAATAAATAGGTTGGTGTAAAACAATCGCTTAGAAGTTCGATTCGACATTTTATAATAATAAAAAATAAATAAATAAATAAATAGTGGGATGCGCAAGGGATGACAACTTATGATTAAAATTTAGTAAAACGTAAAAACTAAAGCTCGATGAAATAGGCAGTCTTGAGACGATTCGATAAGTTCGAACAGAAGAGTAAATTTTCGCAAATAATTTGCATCATTAAAGCTATCGGTAGTACATTTAAGACTGTTTTGTGGCATTGTCCCAGTGGTGGTGGTGGTGGTGGTGCACTTAGAAGCACTTGCGGTGGACGATTCCGGGGCCGGATTCGTCGTATTCCTGCTTGGAGATCCACATCTGCTGGAAGGTGGACAGGGAAGCGAGGATGGATCCACCGATCCAGACGGAGTATTTACGCTCTGGTGGGGCGATGATCTTGATCTTGATGGTGGACGGAGCGAGGGCGGTGATTTCCTTCTGCATACGATCGGCAATACCTGGGTACATGGTGGTACCGCCGGACATGACAATGTTGGCGTACAGATCCTTACGGATGTCGACGTCGCACTTCATGATCGAGTTGTAGACGGTTTCGTGGATACCGCACGATTCCATTCCCAGGAAGGATGGCTGGAAGAGGGATTCTGGGCAACGGAAGCGCTCGTTACCGATGGTGATTACCTGACCGTCGGGAAGTTCATAGGACTTCTCTAGGGCGGTAGAAGCGGCAGCGGTGGCCATTTCCTGCTCAAAGTCCAAGGCGACGTAGCAGAGCTTTTCCTTGATGTCACGGACGATTTCTCGTTCGGCGGTGGTGGTGAAAGAGTAACCACGCTCGGTCAGGATTTTCATCAGGTAATCGGTAAGATCACGTCCAGCCAGATCCAGACGCAGGATGGCATGTGGCAGAGCGTAACCTTCGTAGATTGGGACGGTGTGGGAGACACCATCTCCGGAGTCCAGGACAATACCGGTGGTACGACCGGAAGCATACAGGGACAGCACAGCCTGGATGGCGACGTACATGGCGGGCGAGTTGAAGGTTTCGAACATGATCTGAGTCATCTTCTCGCGGTTAGCCTTCGGGTTCAGTGGGGCTTCGGTCAGCAGGACTGGGTGTTCCTCGGGAGCGACACGCAGCTCGTTGTAGAAGGTGTGATGCCAGATCTTCTCCATATCGTCCCAGTTGGTGATGATACCGTGCTCGATCGGGTACTTCAGGGTCAGGATACCTCGCTTGCTCTGGGCCTCATCGCCGACGTAGGAATCCTTCTGACCCATACCGACCATCACACCCTGATGGCGGGGACGGCCTACGATGGAGGGGAACACGGCACGCGGAGCATCATCGCCGGCGAATCCGGCCTTGCACATACCGGAGCCGTTGTCAACGACCAGGGCAGCAACATCGTCGTCACACATTTTGTTGGCGGGTTTGGATTAGCTGGTGGGAAGAGAGAATGGGATAATGACGGTTCGGTTAATGTGATGTGTAATTTCGCGGGGAGTAGGTATTCATTGTTGAATTTGTTGAAACAAGTGGGCGAGATTCGAGGGCGGGATCGCGTCAGCGAGATGTGGACTGTGGTGATCTATTTTCAGCGTTGGGTGGTTTTGATTTGCTCCTATGCTAATGGAGCTAGATGGAATGAGTGTGCCAATTTCCAGTTGGTGGAAGATATTTTTAGATTTGATTTTGGAACGTGAATGATATCGGTTGGAATGTACATGTAGCACGATGGATCTAGCGAGAGCAGTTTTCACTTCACTTCACTTTTTTTAAAAGATTTCGATGAGTGGTGCACCTATTTTGAACGGTGAATGTACCGTTACTTAGGGCTACGCTCCTAATTTGATTATGTTGGGGATATAGAGGATTAAGGATTAACTGGAATAGGTCATGTGGCTGATCATGCTCCAAATAAGGCCATAGTCATTAGCAGACTCTTATAGGGAATCAACATACAGCCACAGACAAACAGACATAACACATTGAATATTTCTCACTGTAAAACATCGTCGCTAAAACATTACCGCCATCTGTTGAGTACACTGTGGTGGGTAGTACGCTGAACAGATGGCGGTAGTGTGTAAACGTCAAACGCAAGGGAATTGACTATGCGCGCCACATGTGGCGGTACTACCAACTACGATATTTTTAATTTGACCGTTAAATGCTTTTTCGATGAACAACTTGCGAGTGTTATGTCTGTTTGTCTGTGATACAGCCATTCCATACCAAAACGGTATTTTGATTCTCAAAATTTCGTAAAAAATTGTAGTTTTGGTATCGCAAAATATTAAACCTGTATTTTTATTTTCTCATTAGGATGGTCAAAAAAATAGTTCGTTTTTGAGTTTTCGCTTAATACACCTATGCGACTAGACTACCAAAGAATTGATTGCAACTAAATATTAAATACGTGCAGGGTTCGAAGCCATCTTGCTTTTGCATCTACTCATATGAATTCAAAAAATGGTTCAAGAATCCATTTATGGAACTTCTGAGTAGTTGATTTATAATATTAAGCCAATAGGTTCTGGGCATTTCCAGATGTGGCACTATCGCCCTGAGGGTGACCAGCCATTAGGAATTGTCATTAACCCAGACAGAAATAAATTTTGACAAGGTTCCTTACACAGTTTGTTCGGTATTTGATCTGACTATTTGGACGTTCCAGAATCTTGGAAATGTCTCCATGTTCGGGTATTTTTAAAATAAACTACCTGAATCTGGAAGATTTCTTATTAAATTAAATTTAGAATTTATTAAATCCTGGATCTTGATTTTTTTTCTTTTTGTTCAATATCTCGAAACAATGTTGGAATCATCCTGATACCCTTGGGAATCTTTACAGGATTTCTTCAGTATTTTCTGAAGAGTTTGCTTGGATCATCTCAGAATACCCTCAGAGTTCATCTTAGACCTCCTTCTGGTATTTTATTATAATTTGCTCCATAATACTCTTGAAAATCATCTGCAGAACACACTTTGAATTCAATCCGTAATGGTCTTAACAAATAATTAATAATGTATGCAGCACTACCGAGGAATTCCCCTGAGATTTCTCCGGAAAATTCACTTTGTATTCTCCAGGAATTCCTATGGAATTTTTCTAGGAATTCATTTTCAGTTCTGCTCAGGATTCCCATATTTTTTAAAATGCTCATCAGACTTCCCTTGGAAATCACCATTGATTTTTTTCTTCAAAATTATCACCGGAACATGCCTGCAATTTCATTGAAATGTAATTCGAATCATCCTGGGAATTCAATTCCCATGGAATTACTTTGAAATGCTCATCGGTACGAAATCCTTTGGAATTATTCTCAGAATTTTCAATGCATTCATTTCAGAATGCCCTTTGAATTTGATTTCTTCCCTTGGAATTCTACTCACTTTGAAAGTTTGCTAAGAATTCGCTTGCAGGGAAGTAGCAAATTCCATAGATTTCTCATTAAAAGTAATTTGGCATTCAAGTCAGAACTCGCCTGGAATGCTTTTCCCAGCTGCTTTGAAGTTTTCCTGGAATTGTTTTACGATATAATTGTAATCCCTCTTTTAGCATACTCCCAAAGTATTGCATGGATTGGATAAACTTATTGTAATTATCCTCAGAATTCCTCTTGAATTCTTCTTTGAAGTTCCTTGTTGTCCTCCTCAGAATACCTTACCAGAATTAACAGCAGAATTTCGTATGAATTTTCATTAAAATTTCTTTCGAATCTTATTCAGGGATTCTACTGAAAACTACCTTGGTATTCAGGTTTCACATAGAATCTGAAGTTCCTCAGGATTACCTTGAAAGCAGATTGCTCTTGATGTTTTCCTCACAGTTCTTCCCAGAACTCCCTTGGAATGAGTTCCTCGGAAATTATCATACAATTTCATGAGCCTTGACAACTATCCAAGGTCCTTAATCTTGATGTTTTTCAAATCTGTGTCCTTGGAAAATTACTAAGATATAGGTTCTGGAAAATTTCTCCAATTGAATTATATTTAAGTCCAGAATTTCAAAAAAAAATCGTTAAAATTTAAAATTTGTAAAAAATATCCATATTGCAGATCTTGAAAAAAAAAAACAAAACAAATCAAGCCCCTGAATTTTTAAATGGTATAAATTAAAGGTACGGACCATTTCCCCGAAACATCAGGAACATGTTCTGTTCCACCGATGGGTCCGGGATGTTCACTAGTTAAGTTTTTAAAGTTCATTTGATTTTAAAATTAACATCACAGAATTCAGAAACTCTACCTTTGACATATCGAGTTATCGAATCAAAATAACACTACATAGATCATCGATCGAAGGAGGCATCGAAAGGGAAATATCGACATATGGAGAGTATAAGACATGGGAAAATGAAGGGACTGCGAAATATCAAGTTGTGGAGAGTTGACTGTATTTACTACTTTTTGCACAAAATGATTTTTTTCGTATTATAGTCACTTTTACAACACATTGTAGGTCGAATATTTGAATTCACAACCTTCAGCATGAGGGGTTTGGAAGCTAACAACTAGGCCGTCCTGTTTCCACAGCTTAAATGTTGTGAATTGCCCACATTCAGGCGTTTTCACAACATTGAATCTGTTAAGAAGTAAACTCCTAAGATTCCTAAGTTTCCTAAGATTCTCAGGATCAGAATCATGCATCAGGAAGAAAGAAGTTATTCAAGCTAGTATTTATCATGCACTGAACGGATCCATTAACAGTTGGCTTCGGTTATTAAACGACTCCGGATAAATTTAATTAAGCCTACGTCAATGATCAAAAGTCGTTGAAAATTACAACAAGGCAAAAAACCTTAAAATCGCATGACTTTCATCCTTGCCATCTCGATAAATAATATCTTGATTGATTTAGGCTCATCTTGTACGGAAAACGGACACTTCTAAAATCACAAACCCTTATGACCACTCAAATTTAAGCAAAAGCTATTCATCCTTATTCCAATTTTCAGTTTACTCCAATTTCGTTACACCAATTCTCCGCTTTTCTCTGTCACACATCACATATTCTGATAAGGCCAGTCGAACACACCGATACCACACAATGCACTTGCGTTCGGTTCCTCTATAGACACTGATAAGAACGCACTTGTCGCTATCTTCCCAACCGCCCAATCAGCTCCATTCAAATGTCCACATCACGTGAATTACTATTTTCAGCCAAAACCCAATCTACCCTGGATCGGTAGATAACCACACACTGAAGGCAACTGGCGTGGTGTGGCGCTCACCTTAGAACAAACTTCCGACAGACGAGGAAAACTTTCCGACACTATTTTACTATTGGCGAGGAGGACACAACTCGACAGCTCTCCGGTATAGTACTGGCTAATTGGATTTATAATAATCCAATATTTATACCCTCGGCGGCGTTGGCGTCGCGATGCCTGCCGGGCGACGGGCGCGGGAACGCACGGGGACGAACAACAGCTGGACGGACGTGCGCGCGATTTTCTCTTGGATGTGTGTGGGAAACCAAGAAAATCAGCACATTTCCCAAAGTAGCAGCAGTGGAAAAGTCGAAATTTTCATTCGGAGAAGTGCTCAAGATATGGAAGGGCTTACTCATTGTTGTTGATTTCACCGTTGCTTATCAACAGGATGGGAATTAACGGCACCATATGAATTACTTGATTGTACGCAGGGTGTGAGTTTTACCTTATATGGAGTGTTTCAGTCTATACAATTTTATTACCGAACAATTATTATCAGTTGTGTAACAAGATTACTTAGAAGCACTTGCGGTGAACGATTCCGGGACCAGATTCGTCGTATTCCTGCTTGGAGATCCACATCTGCTGGAAGGTGGACAGCGAGGCGAGAATGGATCCACCGATCCAGACGGAGTATTTACGTTCTGGCGGGGCGACGATCTTGACCTTGATCGACGGTGGGGCCAGTGTTGTCAGCTCACGCTGCATACGGTCGGCAATTCCAGCGAACATGGTAGATCCTCCAGACATGACGGTATTCGCGAACAGATCCTTACGGATGTCGACGTCGCACTTCTTAATCGAGTTGAACACGGTTTCGTGAACTCCGACAGATTCCATTCCGATGAAAGACGGCTGGAAGAGAGTCTCCGGGCAGCGGAAGCGTTCGTTGCCGATGGTGATGATCTGTCCGTCGGGAAGTTCATAGGACTTCTCCAGGGCAGTCGAGGAAGCGGCGGTGGCCATCTCCTGTTCGAAGTCCAGTGCTACGTAACACAACTTCTCCTTGATGTCACGGACGATTTCTCGTTCGGCGGTGGTGGTGAAAGTGTATCCACGCTCGGTAAGAATGGTCATCAAGTAATCGGTTAGATCACGGCCAGCCAGATCCAGGCGCAGGATGGCATGTGGCAGGGCATAACCTTCATAGATCGGAACGGTATGGGAAACACCATCTCCGGAGTCCATCACAATACCTTTAGAAATAATCAAACATGTCAAGTCATTCCACTAAATCATATCTATCCAAACAAATATTACCAGTAGTACGTCCAGAAGCGTACAAACTAAGCACAGCCTGAATCGCCACATACATAGCGGGGCAGTTGAAGGTCTCGAACATGATCTGAGTCATCTTTTCGCGGTTGGCCTTCGGGTTCAGTGGAGCCTCCGTCAGCAGGACTGGGTGTTCCTCGGGAGCGACACGCAGTTCGTTGTAGAAGGTGTGATGCCAGATCTTCTCCATATCGTCCCAGTTGGAAACGATTCCATGCTCGATCGGATATTTCAAGGTCAGGATACCTCGCTTGCTCTGGGCCTCATCGCCGACGTAGGAATCCTTCTGACCCATACCGACCATCACACCCTGGTGTCGGGCACGGCCAACGATCGAGGGAAACACGGCACGCGGAGCATCGTCTCCGGCGAATCCGGCCTTGCACATTCCGGATCCATTGTCGATGACCAACGCGGCAACTTCTTCGTCGCACATTTTTTCTCTCTTCTGTATCGTATCACGTAGAGCACTTCCACCAACCCCGAGGTTCACTTCAACGTCGACTAAAGCACGTCCCCAGCATCGATTGGTAATTTATAGGGTATTGATAAGATTCTTATCCTTATCAGTTCGACCGTGCTCAACTGTGTGCGCGTCTGAGATAAAAATGAGCCGTACGTCATAAGTTTGCTTTTGGATTGCAATACTTCTCCGAACCGCTGCGATAATGGGATGTGTGTGAATTAACCAGCGAGTGATCGGTCCTTTTGGTGGCGTGTGAGTGAGTGTACATTTCGACTATGGAGGCGATGGAATTTCGACATGTGGGTGGTTCGTTCTCACGTTCCTTACCCAATCTGGACCGATTCGGGGGTTTTATCAAGAAAATTTTGCAGCACAACCAGTGCTTCGATAGCACGGTGGGTTTGATAGTCTTGTGTTGGGAGTGTTCAATTGGGAGATTTTACTGTGTGAATTAATCATCAATCACTTGAAAAATATTGCGAATCAAGCTAGATTTTTGATTGTTTAGTTTTTCGCAGGCAATAGTCGTTAATTTATCATCGAACCCATTGTATTGCGCATACTTTCTCACCTGTCGGAGATACCGCTTGGATGATTCAAAGATACACTGGCACAGACAGTCATTGATCTATTGGAGATTTTAAATTTTGTTGAAGCGTTCAATAAAATCCTTACTTGAGAGGTAGATGAGGAAAACTTCGTCTACGTCGTTTATTTTCATTATTGTTTATCAACATGTCTCAGATAGTCTTGTCAGTAAAAAAGGGGCCGGTGGGTTCGATTTCCGGTCCGGTCGAAGAAATCTTTGTAGCTGGGATATTTTTCGACTTTCATGGGCATAGAGTATTATAGGTATTATTGTGTTTGCTACTCAAGAAAGATACACATTCGCGCATTGGATGCAGGGTGAACTGAAACTGGACCGGGAAAATCGGGAAAACCAAGAATCGAAAGCAATCAAGAACATCCAGAAAATAACCGAGAATTTGATTGGAGCTTTAACATATATTTTTAATACCTATTTTGATTCAATTTTGCTACAGAGCATATCCACCTCAAATAGCAACACGAGCTTTTCCGATTTGAATGAAACATTGCACATTAGGGTAGGTCATCTTTACAACCTCCTGTTACCCACTGCTCTTTCGATGTGTATTAGGCCCCGAACAGTTGTTCAAAACCGTAACCTCATCTTCCTTAAGTTTCTTCCCATTACCTCCGCTGGGGCTTAGCCTAGGGAATGGTGTACAAAGTATCGTCGATTTGTTAGATTAACCCTGTAGATTTTCGTGAATCGGCTTTTTATCATTGTTCAATTGCATTGGACAAGTGGCCAATTCCAGCTCCCGGTATGGATCAATCGCTGGTAGAAGTGGACCGCCCCCAGCTGATAAATCATTTGCCTAACCTCCTGGTTGATGAACTGCGGGCACCGGGTCGTGAACCCAAGCCTCGCATCACAGTGTGGGAAGATCTCCCGGAACACATCCCGCCAGAATGTGCTTAACGATTCCTGCGAGTTACTGGAGTACAGCAACCCGCCAGTGTTTAAGGTACCGCCGCCGATGCCGACAGGCATAACAACGTTTTGGAAGCGGTCGTACGCTGGAACAGGCGGTACCATATAGTCGGTCGCCCCAGCCGTCGTAGTTCCTCTTATGACGACGATGAAGATGTGCAGGGAGATCTGGACCGTGATGAGGATGAGTCGGAATGCTGGGGGCTGAAAATTAAAGTAGTAGTTCAGTAATTTTATTTTATAAGAATAAAATAAAATTACCTACCGGCCGTCGCCGGCAGGAGCCAAAATAAAATAGACTGTTCAAATATTGCACATGTCTTGGGGACAGGGAACAGGGGGTTGCGATCCAGCATAGAGCATTTCAAGCCCAAAACGCAAACCGGTTGGTTATGAGTGTTTCCGATTTGAATGAAACATTACTCATATGTTCGCTGCTATCGATGGTTGCATTTTTCATTTAAATATGATTTTTTTCTCCAGAGTAACTTTCGAAGAAGGCGTGTTCAAAAAATTGATTATGTATGACAACTGATGTGATCAAAATGACATCAGAATCGGAGCCGGTGGTGTAGTGGTAAGCGTGAGTGCCTCTCACCCAGTTCAATCCCAGTCGGCGCCGCCGGGATGTTCTGAGGCATAACAAAGAAGGGAAGTAAAGCCGTTGGTCTTCGGTTCATGAGTTGATGGGTCGATAGGTAGGGTCCAGGTGTGGGAGCTGCCTCCCTGGCGTCGGTAACATTGGTGCTCAGCACGGAAAACAAATCAAGGAAAAAATGACATCATTGAAAGTTCTTTGAGAAAAAAATACACTGAAAGGAAAAAAAACTAAGTAAATTCGATGTATAGCTATTTTCAATACATAGTTCGATAAAAGAAGCTATTATCTAGCATCTAATACGGCAAACACAACAAGAAACGATTTTGTAGCCAAGTTATTAAAGTGCACCGTACACGATTGATTTTATTGATAATAATGGGATTGTCAATACATTATATATTGACGTAAATTCATCGGTATTGACAATATTTCTGTATTCACATCATAAATATTATTGTCAATAATTCCCCTTCGCGTCAATATGTTGATATGTGTGGGGTTTGCTTAACGAAAGAGAAAGTCATTTTACACAACAGTCTTATTTCGGTTACAAAATGAACATTTTTTAAATCTTCTTGCATAAGATTCAAAAGTTTACTTTTAATATTCAATTTGTATTCATGATGTGAATACCCTGTCCAAGGATGAGGGGCTTGACGATGGATCGTCAAGTGTCGATATAGTCTTATTTTCTGAATTAAGTAATTGTAAATATTAAATCCATAATATTAGATTATAATTGTACTAATAAAAATAGTTTTAAAATTGAAATTTAAATAGCTTATTTGGAGTTGTTAAAGAACATTTTTTTTATTTAGGCTGATGCAAATATTAAATTTGTTTTATGTCCGACATCTTTCAAGGGGGGGGGGGGGGCAAAAAAAAATAAAGAGGGACAACAAAAAAAAAAACGTCAAATTTTATTTTCATTTTTCGAAACCGAAATGAAAAGCACATCTGAAGCAACAATTTATTTACACCTTCTTCGGTCTGCCCCTAGCTCGACGAGTAACGGTAGCTGATCCACAGTTCTTCTTCTCGTAGCAAACTTTGCACAACAAAACTTTACTGTCGGAAGTAACAGTGTTCTGATCAGCGCATTCAGCGCATAAATCATAATATCCTGGAAGAGATGGCCCTGTTTGGTAGTAGTGAAGTGAAACTGCATCGTGACAGACCAGTTTTGGATTTTGAAACACTTCTGGGAACGAGTCCAAACTAGAGCCGCATACATAAAGCTTTTCTTCAAAGAAATTCTCTAGCTTTGAGAGCGTTTCTCTATCAAGCGCGTATTTTGAATACAGCAAACGTGGAAAGTTGCATTCAGTGCAGAATACGATCATTCGTGCTCTAGTGTGTGCCAATGGAAACGGTGCTTTCGGAAGATCATTGACTTGGTCTTGCCGGGCTGCATTCTTACTAGGAACATCTGCATCAGTTGGTTCTTGTCCATAAACCGAATGGAATTCGGCAAACTTATCTCCGATCACCGCCGGTGTTGGAAGCCACGCAATCCTGTCGAAAGTCGCTTCATCCAGCCTTACTGGCGCATGAGCTTTACAATTTACGTCCTTGCATTTCTTCACCTGCATTGCATAAGTAGTGTACGTGCTTTTCAAAAAAGTCCTTCACAGAATTAACTTTTAGTACATCCGCTTTGGTTAGCTTTTTGTCCATGTCTATCTCGGGCCAGACGTCTGATATTTTTCGCTTCAAACGATCGATCTCTTGATCCGTGGCCGCATCACCAACCACAACATTTTCACCTTTGTACACTAATGCCTCAAAACGTTTTGTCAAAAGTTCCCTCGCATCTTTGGTTCCGTCCAGCGCCATCTGACGGTAGTCGATATTAGGATGCTTGCTTTGTGCATCTCTCCATTGCTTTTTGGACAACAGAGACCGTACTTTTGGTTCATTTTGACCTAGATGGTTTCTGGCCAAAGAGACACCCATCAAAGCAATGTTAGCAACGCTCATAAAACGTTCCGCTGGGTTGATGACCGAAAAATTGGGAGGAGTTCGAACTGCACACAAAAAATCAAGATCCAATTCGAAGAATAAAGCTAAATAGCTTAAGATCACTTGAATACTTGTGACGTTGTGATCCGGACCACCATCGGTGCCGATAAACATCATTGGTCGGTCATCAACGTCCTCATCCGTATGCTTAATCAATTCTGCGGCATGCCTAAAAGCATGGGAAGCTTCGAAAATGGCATCCTTCAAAATGATAAGGGGCTTCCCCTTATACCATGATTCTGATACATCCTTCGGTGGTATAAGTTTTATGGAAACTGATGGTACGATATGTTGGGGGATATTGTCATGATCCATGGCATTTAAACCACGTCCATCTAAGCCAGCCATCAATACGTGCCGCTGACGACGCGTCGCACTTACTGGTGCACCAGTAAACCTCACAGGAATGGACGCTTTGTCGTCTAAGAAGTGTACTAGCGAATGATCCGAAAAGATGCCTGCGTTAATGATAAGATTAAGTAATAAAAATTTAACAGATATTTAAAAGATATTACCCGCCATAACTTTCAAAAACTTGAATTACTTAGCACCGTAATGTTGATCTACATGAGCTTTGTGTAGTATTCGTTTTTGCAATCCAAACTTCACGTTGAATCGACCATAATATCTGCTCCCTACTACTGATTTGCTGTTTCGAGGAACAAACTGGATTCGAAAATATTCATACGATGGAATAAAATTGTTGTCGGAATCCGGGAAAAGCTCTTCCATTCTTCTCTCACATTGTGACATCAAATCACGTAGAGAAACACACAATGGTGATATCCAAGTTGTTTCTCCGTTACGTCGTTCGTCAGCAACGGTGTAATCGTTTTCAGCTAGCACGTTTTCCACCGCTTTCCAGAAATGCTCAAATTTTTCTGCTTTCGACTCTTGAGTCTGTTCGA